CAAACAACTCTTTAGTAGCGGTTATGAAATTACGGCTCTTCTCAGGGAATTTCGCTCTTTTGTGAAGTATAAAAACATTGCTCAATTAGAACTAGCAATGAAAAAGTAGCAGATAATCGAGAAATAAGCTATGAACACGTATAAAATTGGTCACCTAATTCCCTATGTTATGCTCCGAAATTAACCCAAGCCTTTTCATTTTCACTAACGCGCACGCAACCATGAGTCGCATTCGAATTCTGCTCGAAACTGCTTTTCATAATGAATTTAGTCCAATTCACATTTCAACATTTTTCCCATCTACCGATCCCTTGCTGCAATTCGAAATACTCTGCGCGATCACTTTTCACAAGCATAAAGGCTTTGTCATCAACACCGACGACAACGACGTTGATAAGAACTCAGAGGAGATGAAACGCATGCACAGTCACCCAGGGTTGTTAAAAAACAAGCTCAATAGCCCTTCAGAGTCAAGGTCGTGCAAAACCCGTACCTGTGAAAAAAACTGAGATAAAAATATTCAGTTTTCCACACATTTCAAAAGGTAAGATCTGCTTTATTTGGCTTATTCACGGTACTTCCAAATATGCGCCATGTTGCGTGAAAAAGAAACAAACAAGCAAAACAAAGCATAAGTTATGTAAAAGCACAACTCAATCCTATAAATTCTGCTAGCACACAATAGTTCAAAAGCCGAGAAAAACTTCAACAACTTTGAAACAGTTGGATAAAACCTTTACTAACCAAAACAGATAGATAGTTTTAGGGTAGGCCAACTGGTGATGATCTAGAAAATTTTTCTGTAAGGAACAAATGAAAAAATAGGGTATTAAAGCACAAAAGGGTTCAACCTAATCGGAAGTGAACGAAGCTGACTCTCCAAAGAGAAATCTTTAGAGACGAACCATGTGCTGAAGAGGAGTAGCGAAGCAAAATTCCAAGAAATAGCGCTACAATCGTTCACGTTGAGCATCTGCTGTTCCACTGATAGCACGGGAACCGTTGCCACCATTGTTCGATAGTCCCAAAGCAACCATCTCTGTGCTACCATATTCCATTACCGGATTGTCGTGCCCACGAAGATACGACTTCTCTTCTAACGAACGTGACGATGATGAACCATCACCCGATAGCGAAGACGACATCCTTACCACAGCATTTCGTGATGACTTGCTGAAGACGAAACACCATATAACAAGGATAAAACTAATTCAGGTCATGGCACACATTCTATACAAACCAAATTTTAAAAACATGCGTACACATATGTATATACATGTATATATATATATATATATATATATATATATATATATATAGTTTCTCTGTTTGGTTATGGAGGTGTTTGGCCGTGTAGATTGTAGTCAACTTGACCTTTCCAGGCTCTGAGGAAGGCGAAATCCGCCGAAACGTTAGCTTGTACGTAAATAAAGAAATAAAGTAACACCTCGTGTTTGCTGAACAGAAGTAGAAACGATATATATATGTGTACATGCATATACGTGTATATATATATATAAGTATATATGCACATATACACATGCATATGCATATATATATATATATATATATAGGGAATGAAGATTAAAGAAAAGTAACGCAAGACAGAATACAGTGGATAAAAAGTAGGACTACACCACCGTACACCAAGACCACAGACCATTACTTTTTATAACACTACACATCACTAAAACTAGAATTTCCAACTTGCGTTCAAAGGGATGCACGGTTTCAATGCAACATCTGCAAACGTCAAAACACTAAAACAATGCTCATTCTAGTAAGCTTGCAATGACTAATTCTTTTTCAAACAAGGAAGGAAAAATGCAGTATTAAACTAGGTGTATTTATTGTCGAGTGACCTGTGCTTATAAATATAAAACTGCTGCATGTTCACTCATAATGAAAGGTTTTTTTTCGATTTCGAAGCGACTCATGATAGCTGTTAATATGAGACAGATCGAGAACATTAACAAACCTGGCTAACCGTTCAAATCCCGAGGCTGCTCCCGACTTCTTCAAGCACAAGACAGCTTGTTCGCGTGGTGTAGGAGTTGTGATAGTGAAAATACTAAATAAGCATGCCATACTCAGCATAGAAACCACAGTAGCCTTTGTTTACATGCTCTCATAAAGTAAATGAAGTAAGTAATTGCTCGTATGAAAAGCTGTGATATTTGCAAAACTCCGGACCGCAGGTGTATGCAGTGGGGAACGAACACGCGCTGTTGTCCTTACCGGGGAGCAGCGCACTTCATCACTACACCATCCGAGTCCTTCGTCTTGCTTGTCTCTCAGCTAGTTCTATCGATCTTTTTGCCATCAGCAATCACCCGTCAACGGGATTGATCTGGGGAGCCCAAATCAGCATTGAACCCAGTTAAGCTGAGGCTTAGTTATAATCACAATCTTAACCTTTTTATTTACTGCCTTTTTCCTTAATGGCAGGGTATGTTGCGAAATATAACTCGTATGAAATGCTGAGATATTTGCAAAACTCCAGACCGCAGGTGTATGCGGGTGATTGCTGATGGCAAAAAGATCGATAGAACTAGCTGAGAGACAAGCAAGAGAAGGACCCGGATGGTGTAGTGGTGAAGTGCGCTGCTCCCCGGTAAGGGCAACAGCGCGTGTTCGTTCCCCACTGCATACACCTGCGGTGTGGAGTTTTGCAAATATCTCAGCATTTCATACGAGTTATATTTCGCAACATACCCTGCCATTAAGGAGAAAAGGCAGTAAATAAAAAGATTAAGTAATTGCTTTTGTAAAGTAAAGCAGTTGTGGGCCAACCAAAATAAGCAGATCAGAAGTTGCTCATTGGCTACCTGGAATGTGAGACGATAGCTATTTCTATCACAACCTCATAAGCCTCCTAATCATTAAATAGCAAAATAGTATATTCGCTTCCCTATTTTGTCACCTTTTCTTCATAGAACCCACCTTGAAAAATCAATACATTCTTTCAACGGTGAATATAAATCACATCTGCTACCACACAAAGAGAGGCAATTAAATACAGACGTCGACTAATTTTAACAAATAAAAACTGGCGACAGTTAGCGAATCATTCGCTCCTCTTAAATGACAAAGTCATTTCATCAGTGTCGGAACAAACTCTGACTGAAAGGAATTTACATGGTTAGGCTTTACATAGATCTCTTGAAATTCAATATTTTCCTTCAGGAGAACCCATTTTGGCAAGTAATCTCTCCGAATTCTTATTTGTACCTATTATCTTTCTTACGCAAAAAGAAGTCTGGGAAATTCTAAGACCAAAACCTTTCAAAAATATTCTCACGTTTTAACAAATATTTTCAGAACAAAGAAATGCTTTGGAGATGTTGCCAGCACTAACATGACCGTTATGCGTTCTGAGCTAGATAAAACGAAGTTGTACCTTAGTTCTGTAAAAACCCATTTGCTGAAAAAAACAAACATTCACCAGCACTGAATCTTAATCGCTCAACTACTTTTCAGAAGAAGAAAAGACGTATCACAAGATCCACTAAAGACATTGCCAAACGTATACAACCAGACAATTTCTTTCCTTTGATGTCACTAGCACTTGGAACATCAGCCCTAAACAGTAAGCATAACCACACGGATATCCAAATCTTGCCGCATCCTCTGACGCATAATTTTTTTCGCGCCAGTTAGTTCATACCAGCCCAGTGGCATTCACTGAACCGCGCTGCAAATGAATCCGCCTCTTGTGCGTTACTGTTTGCCATATAATGCAATTTTTCGATGTTCTTTATCGCTGCGTTTCTAATCTCATATGTGTCCTTTAAAATCTTCCACGTATTTGGAAAATTCGAACCTTCGTGTGTGGTGAAAAAACTCATCCGCCACACAACCACTGTTTCGTAAGGAATCGTAATCGGTTTTGCAAGCCGTATGAACGCCGGTGCTTTTTACATTCACTCATTTCATACGATGGTGCCGATTTTTCGAGAACTCATGCTAACCTTACATAACTGGTGTCTATGAGCGAAAGGAGTTCAAAATTTAATACACTCATGAAAGAAACTTTGCTCTGCTGCTGCAATTCTATGTACAACTTTTCCAAATTGTTGTTTTCATCTTACGTTCCTCTTGAAATCCAATTTTTGTGAAGTTGAAGAACGAACTCAAAAATCGAGAGTCTTAGAAAACAAGCGCGTTAGTCGTAAACACTTAAAAGTCAACCCTAGCTATATTTAAGCAGTCGCTTTCATAACAAGTCATTTTCGTTCCGTTTTGTGCCTATCAATAGAATTTCAAATAACAAGCGAAAAAACGGGTAAATATGTGAATGCAGGAGAATGAATGCCACTAACATTAATGATAGCAATTGGTGATTTCGACTACAGTGTCTGGTTAACTGGGTTCATTGTCGATTTGGCCACCCCAGATTAATCCCGTTGACGGGTGGCTGATGGCACTGATCGATAGAACTAGCTGAGCGACAGGCAAAACGAAGGACACACATGGTGTGGCGGTGGACGCGTTAGCCCCCGGAAAGGGTAATAGCGCGTTCGTTCCTCATAGCATACACCTGCGGTTCGGAGTTTTGCAAATATCTCAGCATCAATATTAATGATAGCCTTATAACTATTACTCTTTCTAGTTACATCAAGCATACAGCCACAATACACTAATAAGTATCCTCACAGCACTTATCGTAGCGTGAAGGTCTCCTTCGATGTCTAACTTCAGTGCTCAATTAACTGCTTTTCAGAGGCGAACCTCTGCGGTACATATTCTCTTAAAACACACCATTTTTGCTGACAAAATAACCTAGTCAAAAAATACTTTTTGTAATCTACCGAGAAAAATAGCCTCTCAAGTCCAGTACGCAGTAGAGCGACCTAAACTGGACCTGCTGTTGAATAAACATAAAGAGCTAGAAAAAAAACCCAGATACGGAAGACAGACTCTAAGTATTAAAGCGAAAGGCAAAATAAACGAAAACAGATAAAATGAGATTATATCACTTCAACTCACAGCGGTAGACCTCACCTCTTAATAATGAGATCCCATAACAACGTGACCGAAGGGATAAACAACAATGCTATCCAAAACAATGGAGAAGACATCATAATCCAAGCCATACCGGTCATACTGCCACCGATTCGAGTAGATACTGTTGGGAATATCTGGAAAACAAAATAGTGAAAAAGGTATTAGTAAAAGTTGATATTTTATGATGAAAAAACTAACTGCAGCATATATAAACAAAAAGAGAAGCCACACAGAAAGTGAGCCGATACTAGCGAGTACTACAGGCCATGTCCATGAATCACATTCCAGCAGCGCTTTCAGGCATACCGTTGCGACTACATACTAAAAAAAAGTAAACAAAGCATATTTCGTTAAAGCAACTAAAAACTTTCTGAACAGACCGTGTAGACACTATTGCCGAAGTTAACCCAACCACCCGTCCGACCATTACTCCAAACTACCTGAGAGCTTAAATAACCGTAGGACAGAAAGAATAAAGACAGTGAATGAAGAAGAGCCATGCCAATCCAGAGAAGAAATTGCTGCAAAATAGATTTATGTTTTTATGGAACCAATCAATTTCATTATACTACTTAAAGCACACTAAAAGAAATTTTCATGAAAAAATTTTCTTTCAGATACCATTATTGAAAACGATCGCTTCTGGAAACTGTGGTATAGGGAAGGATATCGCATCATCTGCACGGGTTCAATAGGCCTATCAAACAATCCCAAAACTATTGGAGGCCATGCAGTGAAAATGACGTTGAACAATCCAATAGTCCATCGCTCGAATATTGTTTGCCCTGACCATGCAGAGAAAATTGCAAACCTGTAAATTAAAAAGTTACAAAAAACTTTATATTAAGAACTAATCGAACAACTAGGTTAACCGCAAACTACAAAGCATAAAATAAACTGCAGCATCACTTGATCCCTTATACTTGATACCTGAATGGCCCGTCCTCACTGGTTGTGATGGCCCCAGCACAATCTCCGCTTTTCGGATCACCCGCCAGCGGGGTTGATCTGGAGAGCCCAAATCGGCAATAAACCAAGTTAAGCTATGGCACTGATCGATAGAACTAGTTGAGAGACAGGTGAACCAAATGACTCGCATGGTGAACGCGTTTGCCCCCGGAAAGGGTAATAGTGAGTTTGTTCCCTATCGCAAACACGTGCGGTCCAGAATTTTCAAATATCTCAACATTGTAGAAGTTATATTTAGCAACATACCATGCCATTAAAAAGAGTAGGCAGTAAATAGTAAGTTAAAATTATCTAATAATAGTTAAAAAGAAGCTTAAGGGGTCACGTAAGGTTGAGCATAATGAGGAATCCCTTGCGCTAACTGGAGAAAAGTCTGAAGTCGATTAATCAAAGCACTAGAAATGAAGATAAAAACGATGTTATCGACGAGCACCCAAAAAAAATGTGGGGTCTGTCCAGTCCTAGCTTTTCGATGACAATCAATTGCTCGTATTTTACGCAATCCTTGCGGATGACATTGGGAATCTATTTGTGAGTAACATGAATACACATGGAGAAGAAAAAGTGCAGTCATGAGAAAAACTGTTGACAAAAAGTAACGATTCAATGGTCTCTGTTTGCAGAAAGCAAATGTTTGACTGCCACATCTGAGGAATTACTACATACGTACCTCGTTCTTTGGAAACTCTTATATTATTTGTAATATTTCGGTTTGATGTCGAAAAATAAAATGCTTACACCTAAATTCCCAATTAGCAATGTCCTTGAAAAGAATTCCGTATCAAGGAAAAAATGGAGATACTCGTCAGTACAAAGAATTATCAAAACATCACGTCTCCATACCTGCGGTAATACGAATCAACCAGCTCACCAATGAATGAAACCAATGTGAGAACCACTTCTGTTTAGGTTTTTCTTTGTTTTCGTTTCCTTTTTTAAAGTTTTTACATTTCCAAGATTGCAGATTGCCAACTACATGCAGAAGGTCTAATATATCAAAACAACAGATTTTTTCACAGCAACGTTTAACAACCTAAGAGAAAGATTGAGAGAACGTGTTATGTTCACGAGGTCACATTTTGTGCAAACAACGATAAACGTGTACTTTGTGAACGCTTAATCGCTTTACAAGCTAAGTTACATCTATATTAGCCTTCATAATCGTAAATTATTATTTAATTACTTACTGCTTACTCTTTTTAATGTTAGGATATATTGCGAAATACAACTTCAATGATGCTGAGATATTTGCAAAATCCTAGACCACATGTGTCTGCGGTGGCGAATGAAAGCGCTATTGTCCTTTCCGGGGGGCTAACGCGTTCACCACCACATTATACGGGTCCTTCGCTACGCCTGTCTCTCAGCTAGTTCATCGATTTCTGCCATCAGCATTCACACGTCGGCAGGATCAATCGTGATTGCTGATAACAGAGATCGATAGAATTAGTTGAGAGACAGGCGAAACGAAGGATCCGCGGGGTGTGGTGGTGGACGCGCTACTTCCCGGAAAGGACAATAGCGCGTTCGTCCCTCACCGCATACACCTACGGTCCGGAGTTTTACAAATATCTCAGCATCACTGAAGTTACATAGTCTTCCTCAACGGTACATTATGTCACTGTGGGAAGTATTCTTAATTGTTGAAGTTAAATGCACAAGTACAGTATAGGGAACTTGCTACTCTCTTCACCAAAAACATCTCTCTATTACTTTGCCTGCACAAAAGCAAAGAAATCGATTGTGGTTCTCTTACTAATAAGTGGTAAAACTTGTCTCGCTGTTTTTTGTAAAGTAGGATGTGTAAAGAATATCTATTCTGCGCTTATCTGCAGTTAACGACCGAGTACAAAAGATAGCTCTAAAAACGTTGTGCTACAAGACTAATCACAGAAAGATTTATTGAGATCTACGCATGCCGCCACACCAACGTTTCCGCTGCTATAAGTTGAACATGCACGAACGAACGACCTAAGTTCACTCAATAAGAAACTCACCATAATTCAATTATGTAGAGGCATATATTCTTGTAGAAACTATACAAAATCACTTTCACAGAACGATCGTGATTCAAAGCCCCGTGGACCTTAAATGTAAGACTTCACAAATCATACCAGATTCACGTAGTCGCATACCAAAAACACTTACTAAAAGAAGTCTTCTCAAGAAGTGAAACCTCGGAATAGCGTAATCAGATGCTGATGACGCTTGGAGACCTTCTTCGCCTGATATTCCAACGCCAACATTTGCTGCCTAATCTTACTTTAAGTAAAAAAAAATATAAAAAGAAACTATATGATATACCTGGATCATAGCAACATCGTTGGCACCATCACCTACAGCCATCACAACATGGTTACCAAGACTTTGAACCATTTCGACTACCTTTAAATTAACAAAAAGTGGTAGTTAGAAGGAATGCAAGAAAAAATTAACAAGGATTTTTGAAAGTTTCGAATGAGTGAAACGAAAAAGGGGATGTAATTGTTTATCTGCCACTTTCTTTTGCGTTTATAATATTAAATGAGAAATAAAATACTGGATAACACATTCGAAAGCACGCCTAATTTTCGTTAAAGGTGGTGTGAGATTTTCCGCTAGACTCATTTTAAGTTGTACGTGACTCAGACGATCCGTCCTGCCAGTCATAGGGTGGTGAACACAGATCCTTTTCCCTCCCAACCTCCAGATGGTGAATCAAACTACGCCACCACACGGTTTAGGAATTTCTGAAATTGTAGTTTGACATTTGAAAAACGTTCAAATAGTCCGACACGCCACAGAGATTGCTTCCTGCTCTGAACCACCAGAACAGTCTTCTCAGACGTCCTACTTTACGCTTTTCTTGAGGCCGCTGGTAGCATCAAATTCCGTGTGATCGCTCTACAAGAGATGAAAAGCTGGAAAAGCGACATACGCCAATTAAATGACAGGACCAGTGTCATGTGTGGAGAGGAATTTCTGTTACGAAATCTCGGAGGCGTAGGCTTTACCGTACAACCATATATTTCCCACCCGGTCACCTCAGATAGAACCTTGTCACTGCTCATGGCCATTCTTTATTCTCACCTTTCGCGTTAGAAGAAAGTCACTATCATCGTCTGTTATTCATCATACTCACCAACTTGTACGGCCGATGACGACAAACAGGAGCATGCGATAGTAAGTTGGAAGAAGTAATTTACAACGAAGAACGTTTCAATAAATTTGCTGTTGGAGATTTCAATGTCAGGTTATAGAAGGCCAACAGAAGTGAATACAGGACAGGATGACTAGAAATTGTAGATCGAAATGAAAATGGAAATCGTCTTGTACGACTTCTGTCTGCAGCACGTCTATTCTAGTCAGTTTCATTTCTCGAAAAAAAAGTAAATCGTCGATTGACATGGGAGTCTCCCAACCGGCATAACACATGCGGAGATCGACCACATTCTCACGGATAGAATATCGTGACTCTTTGACAACTCTATGATGCATCGATTTGTGCTGGAGCTGATCATTGCCTCTTCCATGCAAAAATTCTATTCAACAATAAGCTGAAAAAGAACTATCATCCTCGCTCAAGAACACGATAAGTCGTCTAGGGCGAGTACATTCTCAATAAAAAACCTCTCCTCACATGACTGACGAATAAAGGAACACCCATCCGAAGACTACAAACTGTTTTCGAAGGATATAAGACTTGTGGTGAACTCGCCTCAGTTCCTCAAACAAGAAATTCATACAAAATCTCAATTACCACGAAGGCGTTGCTCGAGAAAAGAAGAACAGTGAAGTTTGATACTAATGCAAAACACTTAACACGAACGATAACAAATGCCAGCTGCAGATCTTTGCAGGATTTACAGCGGCATAGAGAGAAAAAGCTTTTGAAAGCAGCTTAAAATCGATTTTGGATATTGGGATACTTGCATGGCCCGTCTTCAGTGGTTGTGCGGGTCCCAGTATAATTTCCATTCACCGGAGATATTCTGATTTAAAAATTCGGGTTCCTTGGAGACTCGAGATCAGTCTAGCCAAAGCCTTCCTCAGACCGTCACCACCCCAAGCAATCGCCTCCCTTGTGGACCAGAGGGAGATTTGTTACCATGTGACTAGTTTGATACCAGCACGGTGGTGGATCCCGGTATTGGTTTACTCTTAGCTGTGCTTCCTGATGGAAAGCTCCAGCTCCAGGACCCGACAAAACCACCGCTGATTTCCTTAGAGCAGTGGCCACAAATTATGAGTACTTCTCGCAAGCTACGTGACATCTTACTTTCAGAATGAGAAAATCGCAGACCAGTAGAGGATGTCGCGCACGGTCATCCTGCCCAAGAACAGTGATCGAAAGGATCTTCGTAACTATAATTCAAGATGCTTGTTGTGTTTACTCTACAAGCTGTTCACGAAGACTACCCCTTTACGCATATCAAGGACCATGGATGAGGCAAAACCAGTTCAGCGAGCAGAATTCCGACGTGGATTCTTCTGCACGTAGCATATTCAAACCGTGTCCAAGGTTAATCTTAACCGTTTTGTTTACTGCCTACTCTTTTTAGTAGCAGGGTATATTGCTATAACTTCACTGGTGCTAAGATATTTGCACCGGATCGCAGGTGTCTGCAGTGGGGAACGGACTTGCCATTGTCCCTTCAGCGGAGTAACGCGTTCACCGCCACACCATGCGGGTCCTTCGCTTCGTCTGTCTCTCAGCTAGCTCTATCGATTTCTGCCATTTCTGCCATGTCCAAGGTCAAAAAAGTTTGTTCGAATTGCGATCTGCCCCTAGTCTTACCCTATATAAACTTCGAAAAAGCATTTCACAGCGTCATGAATGCATGAGCTCGTAGACCTGTCCTATATATGAACATTAGCATACTGTTACCAGAACTGCAACACCAATATTCAGCTTTTCCGTAAACCTCTTATCATACGCATAGGAAAAGGGGTTCGACAAGGCGGCACGACATCGGTAAAGCTTTCTACTGCTACGTTGCAATGCATAATGAAGTCGCTGGATTGATACGAGAAGAGCATGTGTTGGAAAAAAAAATGGAAAATTTCCATCAAATCGTCTCGCCGACGTCATCGTCATTTTTCCAAGTACTACTGAAGCACAGGCAATACTCAATTGAATCAACGAAACCAAAAAAGATTGGACTGTGCATAAATAAGACAGAGAACAAGGATAACGAAGAATTAGACAGAAGGAGAGCAGCAACGACTGCACTCGGGCCTCTCAAGGAAGCCACCGATCAACTAATGGATCCAAAACTCCGCGCTGACCTTTTCAAATCAACAGTCTTCCTATCATATTAGGCATTAGAGACGTAGGCTAGTAATTCGACCACGAGAAAAACTCTGTGCACTCTCTATAGAGAGCTTCAACGACACCTTATGAAATTTCACTGGGACTCACAACGTCTAGCAGAAATGTACGGCTCAGATCCTCGAAACCTCTCTCATTTTGGAGATCCAAAAGAATATACATCGATAGCGAAGCATAGATGGGTAAATGACATAACAACAGATGAGAGAAACTCCAGTAGAGTGAAATCTAAGAGAATGCACGCGTCCTCATGGATGACGATGCAAACGGTGGACAGATGTGTTCGCCAGCTAAGGTCAACCATCTGTATTCGCAGATGCGAAAGATTTCAGGAATACGAAATGGGCCTTGTGAACATCACCACATTCGAAATAGACCACCACCATTGACGGCATTAGCGCAGGAGAGAAGCGAATGGAAATTCTGCCGAAGCTCGCAATACCAGTGAAGATGGGGCATCCAAATATGCAACCAACTATCCAACTAGTTCCGATGCAAATATATGACACAGATTTGCAAAGTTGTCGGGCGACACTGCAACCTGTGATGGATCAAAGAGATTGTGTAAAATAAGTACGCTTGTTAGTATGTAAAAGTATGTATATGTATAAGTATGTAAAACACGCTTGTTAAACTTCACAGCATAAAGTAGAGGACATTTTATAGAACTTGCGACAAGATCCTCGTTCTACACAGAATGAGAATGACATCCATCTAGTCCTATAAAGGAGCAATAAATAGAAGCATAAGCGGATCAAATTGAGCCTTAAAGGCGGTTACACATAAATAATTGTGCTGTACGCCGAAAAAGACATTTCCAGAAGTTTAGGGGTCTTGAATTGAGAGCAGTCAACTTCACAGACGATTTATGCATGAAGAAAAACATCTGCATACTAATAGGTCGTGAAAAATGGTTCGTTGCGCAAATGCTTGTTAGAGGAAAACCAATATGAAAACCCATTTTAATAGCGTATTCAAGATAAATAAGAACTCATAAAAAAGACCAGTCAGGAGAAGCTGAAGTGTATAAGGACCAACATAATAGGCGCAGAATAATGGTACGAAATGGAAGGATTTATCAAGAAATACAGAATGAAAACTAACATGTGCACACTAACAATCACGTAGTTTGCTATTCTCCTCATGTCGAGAATTATCGAAAAACACAACTCTAGATCTTCTGCACTACGAATTAAACAAGGTAGCATTAGGTGTAGTAAACACTGAAACGATTTCCCTTTGAGCACAATGTTAAAAGCATCCGTAGAAAACTGTCCGAATAAGAGTTGACCGCCTGTCACATTCCTAAGGATATGCTGTACGAAGCACATTTATGAAAATGCATTCCTTCAAAGTCCAGCTAAGAAGCAACAACTTCGGTGACAGTAATGTTATACACATGCCGTATTCACGTGTATAAACGTTTGATCAATAGTTCAGCGTTGTGACAAAGTGTTTCCATGTGAAATATTTCAGCGTATAGATGTAGCAGCAACAACTTGGTACTCTCTCCACTAACAACATTCTTCGTACTACCAAATCTGCATTGATAGCAGGAAAATCGTGGTGAGAATAGTCGTGACGAATGAACTCATCATTGAAACGTTCCTGTACGATGCTCTGTGTATATCACCGGCTGAGGGGAAGTTATCGGTTTATCGATAGAAAAAATAATGCCACAAAAAAGCGCAAGTGAAAAAAAGAGCAATCGGAAAGAAAATTTATCATGCATTACTCATATGGTTGCGAATGTGTTAATCGAAGTGGATATTGTTCATATTGCTTTCTGTTTTGATTTCACTCCTTATGAGTACGGAAATATAAACTATGAATATAATCAACCACTTCCTTCTTGTGCCAAAACTTCTCCAGTGATAAACAATAAACTCACCTCAGCCTTCTGCATTGGGCTCATACGGCAGCAAACAACAGAACGACATGCAAGAGCAAGTTCACCGAAGTGTACTCGACATTTACCCACCAAGGCATGGGTGAGAGATTTCCCATCGATGACCATTGCAAACTCCCTTCAAACAACAGTAGTACAAAATTTGTTCTCATCTGTCCTAAAACAAACGGCAAACATTTACTTCCATAAAAAAACACAATACAATACAACGCTAGCTGACGTTTCGGCAGTATCGCCTTCTTCAGAGCCTGGAAGGGTATACTGATATACAATCTACTAGGCCAAACGCTGCCGAAACGTCACTAGCGTTGTATTGTATTGTTTTTTTATGGAACTAAATGTATGTTGTTTAAAAACCTCGCGATTGCTGAACAAGAAAACGACACATTCATATTCCAATGCCGAGGTTAATAGAAAGTCGATCCTGGGAACTATTACAAACGGCAAACTCACTTATTTTCTTCGAGCAACTCTCTTGAGCGGTTAGCTAATTGTATCAGTTTCAAACATGTTTCCTCGTAAGTTTCTCTATCCACAGTTAGTAATTCAGTGTTTTCATTGCACAGTGCACAAGAATGAGCTAAAATTATACTATTAGCAACAAATCTTGAATTTTCGCGACGCTAAATATTAATGGGTAGATTTAACAGTCCGCAATCAAAACTACTTACTTGATAATTGAACGGCCGTCCTCACTGGTTATGCGGGCCCCAGCATACTCACCATTTTTCGGAGATTTGCTGATTAACCCATTGTGCTTCCCTGGAATCCCGTGGTCAGCCAGGCCAAAGTCTAGCCCAGATCCTCTCCACCACGGGCAGTCGCAGTCCTTGTGGATCAGGAGATTTGCCAAAATGCGACTTTGATACCAGGACGGTGGCAGATCGCGGTATTGGTTTACTCTTAGCTAAGCATCCTGATAGAAACGCCGGACTCTTTCTCAGCTTGGGAGACCCTACCGGGTGGACGAATCCCTTCGCTGTACATCGCAGTCCGACACCCAGGAACACCTCTCAGCCACGATGAGGCGGTAAACCGTTGCGAGGAATCAAAACTAAGTCGTAAGTAAACATAAAATTGTCGGGTTATGTTACTCTACATGATAAACTTTTGACGAACTAAACAACGCTGAGTAGCAAAATTAGACATAAAAGAACCGATCAAACATGCCAATATTTATAGCGGTTTCTCTCTTATCACCGGTCAACATCCATACTCGAATATCCGCAGCCATCAATGTTTGCACGGTCTCCGGAACAAACTAAATCAATGACATCGCAAAATGACTTGATATCATAACACCTGTTGTAGACCACCTCTTGCAGTTTGTCTTCGATAGCCGTTGCGCCAACGAGTTTCATTTGAACCTCTATTTTCTCAGCTACATCAACAAGCGCTTTTTGCCGACCTTCGATAAGAACTCCTGCAGCTCGATACTCGCTCGACCAACGTTTGTATTCATCCTACGAATAAAAGATAAGAATTGGAAAAGGTTCTAAAAATCGCGACTTCACTATTAATACGACAAAACAAACACCTCTTCAATTACACGCATAGCGAAACAAAGAGTACGATACCCATATGATGCGAATTTCTCGAGGTGGTTATGACATACATCTATATCCGCTTCTGAACCAGCAACTAGACGTTCCATGATAACCGTATCCTAAAATCCTTGAATTAAACAATTCTGACATTTAAACGGCTCGTCTCTTCATGAATCATGCGCACACAGTTTTTGTTGGCATGATTCCCTCTCAATGATTTCTCAGGAAGAAAACACTTCGTACATGATGACGTCGATTCATGATTCATGAATCGTGCTTTATTTTAAACATAGCTCATCGACATGACACAGAACCGCAACCACCCGTTTAGTACATCTCTCTTACACGCTATTCATTATGTCCATATTTCTCTGACTCTTCTTATCACTTGAGCGGCCTATTTATACTTCGCTTTAAGTTTACATCCTGCTGGATAACAAAATCTTAAACCTACCACGATAACGTCAACAAAACGATGGTTTCGAAGAGACGTTTCGTCGTTGCGTATGTCCTTCTCTTAGTATTCGAGCGACTTTACCATTCACTGTTGTGCTACGGTGAACATCATTTACAAGATGCGGCTCACCTATGACCTTGATCTCCATGTGGACGACAAGAGATAACGGAACATTTGTTTCGTCGACATGCACTTCCGACAACTGTGCGTCACATCAATTGTAATCTACATTTTCACCTGTGACGGCAGATAAAACAACACTCGTTTGGAAGTTGTTCACAACTTTTGGTAGTTGAAAAACATAAGAAGGAAACAATGGCACAACCAACAGATTTCCAACATCCAACTGCATGGGTGTCTTAGAAAGTCTAACAATATTCAGGAAGACCGTGTATACCATCACTCACGGTCCTCACTTTGTCTGCGACTCTCCATTTTTGCAGACATATCAGCACATATATGGTGATAAATGCGTGTATACGGATCCCGACGGGCGTTAACCAGAATGCAATATCTTTAATAGACTTTCACCTTGTACCGCTCTAAATCCTCGTGGAAGTATTGTCTGCAACTGTGCTTGATACCATATGACAACCATGTCAGCTACGCTACATTTGATTCTACCAGAAATTTAATACAGTCTGCACCAAAACCGTTGTTGGCAGCGAACGATACCTACTCATTATACTCAAGACGCCAAGCAAGAGAAGCGTAAGCACCTGGAAAAACCTGAGCATCCTCTAAAGCGCAAGTGGTCATCTTTGCTTCGATCATATTTGCTAAGTCGCTCACACCAGTGGCAGATTTTGTCCCAGACAATCTTGTCATACACCTATTTCCTTTTCTATCTCAGGTGACAACATTTCTTCTCATGGTTATGGCAGAACATAATCTCTGTAGGTAGAAGGCGATAATCGTAGCCAGTACAAATTGGTGGCGTTTTATATATAACTTTGTAAAGAGATAGTCGATATCCGCATGTGCCGTATCAGTAACCCATTACCACGTCCAGCAGCTACATTCTTACCTCCGTAAAAAAAGAATTTTATGGCGAGGGATGTGCGGATCCCACTGAATAGAACGATGTTATTTTCGTTCTGATACATATTCCAAAAACCTCGAATTCCATGAATTAGAAATGATAGCGAACCATATCCCGATTTTGCCATATATTAACTATTCATCATATCAATGTGGTAATATAATAAGTCTGAAAACATACGGCTCCTTTAGTGTACAGCTTGATGACTCCCGCACTGTCACGCACTACAACACTCATTCGTTTTCTGTCACTAGTAAAGTCAATAACGTCAAGCACTTCAAACTCTTCGTCCTTCCCAAGCTAAAAAACGTAACATGAGGAATCCTTCAAAGCCATGATTTTACTTAGTTAAATAACCTGAGTAATAAGTCAGCAGCAAGAATAGGAGAATGGAACTAGTTACAAGAAACAAAAATAGGGAACCATTCAAATCCAATTTCGCCTTTACAACATTGGCGTCGAAGGTTACCTCCACAGAGGTATTGAATTCAACGCATATATCATAAGGCGTTGGTAATAATTTATGTTTCAGTTCCGTTCCATATTATCTATGTTAACTTACATACTTTTCCACACTATCTGGAACCATCCTATGACCTAAGTGTAATAAACAAACTCATCCATCATCAACCCACGGAGCCCTTCATCTTCGTTAAGGTTGCATAAAATATGTAGAATATGCTCCGATATTTCAAAACACCTTTCATCCACTCATTCCATAAGTTAATGATTCATCACGACGATTAAGAATGTAAAAACACAAAATAAACTTGACAGCAATCCATTCGGCCAAACACCTCCATAACCAAACAGAGAAAACGCTAAACCAAGATTTCAATCACATTTAGCATAGCTCTGCACACTCACCGCTTTCTATGAGTCTTCCACTGAGTATGTCGCGTGAAGACCGACCGCACAGAATTCACGTGGAAGCGTAATGTGCTCCTCCGATCAGAATAACAGGTTTAATTACTGTCCATTATCGCGCGTGATAACGAGGCATTCCTCTCTGTGGTTCATTTTCGGATTCTTGGAATTAATCCAGAATGCCTCTAGAGTTTTACGCGCTTGTGTTCTCTATTCTTGCGCGAGGATCGTAACCCTTACTTCAAAATCTTCTTCGTTATGTTTCTGCGTGCTATGCGTACCTAGTGGAGTACTTGGCTTACGTTTGCCGACTAGGTGACGTATGCAGAGTGGTCTGAGAAGGAATTTAAAATTCAATACCGAAAGTTAAACAACGAATGGGTTAAAGTGGCAAGAGCGGCAGGGTTAAAACCGTCAGTTATCTCTCATCTCAAAATTGACTTACCAACATGTCCCGTCCTGTACTTACTTATCAAAACCCATAAGTTAGTATTAAGCGATGATCTCGTGTCTACCGATCCATTGCTACTTAAGGTTAGACCTATCATTAGCTGCGTAGACGGGCCAACGGATAGGATAACGTGGTTAATAACTCTAATACTTAGTTGTTAAAGTACATTCCAGCTCATCTAATGAACACCCAAATGTTCCTGGATCGTCTACGCAACGCGCGACCCAACAGCGCGTACGTGGTGGAGTCCTTCGACGTCACTGCGCTGTATACGAACGTGTCGAATGACTCCGCTATGCAAGCCATAAACGAGCTCCTTATACAACACGAAGGAGCAATAAACATGTACGGCTTCTCGATTCAGCAGCTGATGACACTCTTAAAGGAGTGCCTAAACTGTTCAATCTTCAGATGGTCCGGGAGGTATTACGCACAAATGAGAGGGCTAGCAATGGGACAACGACTGGCACCAAGCCTTGCCATTTCATTCATGTCTAAGGTGGAAGCGCCAGTAATCGACCTCGGTCCGTTACTCTACTGTAGATATATAGATGACTGCTTGGTCATTTGTTCAATGCAAGAAGAAATCGACAGATGTTTCGAGTTGTTGAACACACAGCCAGAGTATATTAAATTCACCCGAGAGAAACCAAATGAAGACTGGCTTCCATTTCTGAACGTGCAAATTAGCCTATCAGAAAACGGCTACGTTACGAAGTCGTATCGAAAGCCAAGTAGTAAAAACATCCTAGTTCATTACCTCTCCTCTCATCCCTCTCAAACGAGAAGGGCGCTTGTGAGAAACGTGTATCGAACAGCTACCAGCGTGTGCACAGAAAGACAACAAAGAGGAGTCCCGGAAATTGGCGCGACAAATAGCCATTTTTAATGGCTACGAAACCGTAGCTCGAGATTGGTGTAGAGGTAACCACAGGTACCCCAACGATAACTCTAGCGACAACAAGGTCCCGTTTATACTGCCCTTCATTTCAAATGAAGTAAGTGCAACTATAAAACGCTGTTTAAGAAGGGCCAGTCTAGAGAATTCGGTAACGATAATCGAAACACGACCGAGTAATCTAAGGCGCCAGCTAGTTCGTAACCGCCTATACGACCGTCTATGTGCAAAATTGCATAATATGCCCCAATGGTAGAGATGGTGACTGCATGAGTTCGGGTACAGTCTATCTGATCTCTTGTAAAGCGTGCGGGGACGAATACGTTGGCGAAACGGGTAGACCACTCTGCGTACGTATAAAAGAACACCTAGTCGGCAAACGTACGCCAAGTACTCCACTAGGTACGCATAGCACGCAGAAACGTAACGGAGAAGATTTTGAAGTAAGGGTTACGATCCTCGTGCAAGAATCGAGAACACAAGCGCGCAAAACCCTAGAGGCATTCTGGATTAATTCCAAGAATCCGAAAATGAACCGCAGAGAGGAATGCCTCGTTATCACGCGCGATAATGGACAGTAATTAAACCTGTTATTCTGATCGGAGGAGCACATTACGCTTCCATGTGAATTCTGTGTGGTCGGTTTCCACACGACGTAACAAAGTGGAAGGCTCATAGAAAGCGGTGAGTGTGCAGAGCTATGCTAAATGTGAATGAAATCTTGGTTTAGCGTTTTCCCTGTTTGGTTATGGAGGTGTTTGGCCGAATGGATTGCTGTCAAGTTGACCCTTCCAGGCTCTAGGGAAGGCGAAATCCGCCGAAACGTCAGCTTGTGCGTAAATAAAGAAATAAAATAGCACTTCGTGTTTGCTGAACAGAAGTAGAAAGATATATTCAATCAATGCCGAGGCTAATAGAAAGTCGGACTTAGGAGTTACAAAATAAACTCGTCGTTTTCTTGTTCAGCAATCGCAAGGTTTGTAAACAGCATACATTTACTTCCATAGGGAAGCACAATACAATACAACACTAGCTGATGTTTCGGCAGTATCGCCTTCTTCAGATCCTGAAAGGGTATACTGATATACTAGGCCAAACGCTTCATTACTACTTACAAAAAGACGAAAAACTCTATGGTAATTACATGATCAACAGCTTCTCGAAAAACTCACCGCTTTTTTCTTGACTTCCAATGAGGAAGTTTAGAACAGCTGATTATAGTCGCATATGGTTGACAACTGCACCATCCCACATCAAAAATGGATGCGGACAAACGGGATCAGGTCGCGTATGACCTTCGGGCATTCATCCCTGCTATTCATTGTAGGGTTTTTGGCATTGATCCAAAAAGCCTCAAGGAGTTTTCGCGCTGGTGTTTTAGTCTCCTGTGCAAAGATATTGACTTTTACTTCAAAATCGTCTCCACTATGCTTTTGTATCCTACGCGTCCCTCGTGGCTTGCCATGTTTTGCTTTTCGTTTGCCACCTAGGTGTTCTTTTATGCAGATACATAAGGGCCTGCCCATTTCGCCAATATATTCAGCTCCGCAAGTCCCACAAGAGATCAGGTATATCGTACCTCATCCAATCACCATCCTCCAGAGATCGATAACCGGAGCTTCTACTTCAGACATGAACGCAATGGCGAGAGTTGGTGCCAGTCGCTGTCCCATTGCCAACCCCCTTATTTGCGCGAAATATTTCCCAGACCATCTGAAAATCGAGCAGTTCAGGCACTCCTTTAAGAGAGCTATTAGCTGCTGGACAGACAGGCCATGCATATTCATTCTTCCTTCATTTTCAACAAGTTCGAAGATGGCTTGCATTGCGGAGTCATTCGACACGTTGGTGTACAGTGACGTCGAAAGACTCCATTACGTACGCTTTATTAGGAGACGCGTTACATAGACGTTCTAGGAACATTTGAGTGTTTGTGAGGTGAGCTGGAATGTGGTTAAGCGACTGGGTAAGTATTAGGCTAAAAAACCAGGTTATTCTATCTGTTGGCCCATCTACACGACTGATGATAGGTCTATCCTTGAATGATAACGGATTGGTTGACGCAAGATCATCAGGTGATACCACCTTATGTGTTTTAATAAGTAGGTATAGGAGGGGATATGTCGGTTTATCGATTTTAAAGTGCGAAATAACCGATGATTTTAAACCTGTAGCCTTTGCCACACTGACCCATTGATTGTTTAGCTTTCGGTATTGACTTTTAATATTCCTTTTCAGAGGATGGGCGATAGAGAGTAGCATCACTAAGATGTTCCTCTGTTATCTCAACATCCAGCTGGCGAGGGATAACTACGAACTCTCCCCCCTTATCACTAACAGACAATCTTATTGTTTTCGAGTTTATTAGTTCTCTAATTTCCCGCATGCCACATTTTTGTGAGGCTATAAGGTTAGATATAAACTTTCTGTCGCGGTAGTGATCAAGGGTCTTGAGAACGCCGTCCGAAAACACGCGGAATTTTATGTCAACCCCATCATTAGGGTCCTGCTGTCTAAAGAAAGTTTTTGGGAAAGGAGATGGTGGTAGTGCCGCCGCCTCTTGATTTTTATCTCTATTTGATGTTTCTTGCTTGGCCTGATAGCGGAGTCGATCTTGAAGCTTATAAAGGTTACATGCTATCCTACGCAGGGTCGTTTTAGAAATGGGCTGTGATGGTGCAAAACTTGGGTCCAATTCTAATAGCGAGCGCGCATTCCCAAGTATTGTTATGCCACCAATCACGGTGACCCTAGATTTTCTTGGTGCATTATCAACCCCATTTTGACTATTACCAGAAGCTTAAGCAATTCGTTCGCGGTTGTTTCTTGAAGCTGAGACAAGTAAAACGGCCGAAACGTCAGCTAGTGTTGTATTGTATTGTTTCTCTATGGAAGTAAATGTATGCTGTTCAAAAACCTCGCGATTGCTGAACAAGAAAACGACGCATTCATATTCCAATGCCGAGGTTAATAGAAAGTCGATCCTGGGAACTATTACAAAATAAATTCACAAGCTCCCAAGTGAATTGCTAAATTGAATCGTTAGAAAAGGTGGCGACTAGTTGGATTTTTGCCGATTGGTAGTTTAGGAAAGCTATCCACGTATCATTTTCCACGGTGTTGGTTTTTAAACTACCACCGATAATACATCTCTAAAATTACTTCAAAAATTGAACACCTGACATAGTCATGGAAAGGGATTCTCTAATTGCTCACTAATTTCCAATAAAACACTGTTTACTTCTTGATTTTTTTTAACCCACACTTTCAAGGAATTAAGGACAAAAACTGAATCTTAAAACCTCAGACGCAAGTGCGGAAGCCAGAACATAAACGATGCAATCGGAGTTTACTTCTATAAACGAAGTTTGCTTAAAGCTTTAGTTTTAAATTGCCCTAAGCCAAGTGTGAGCTGTATGATTGCAATCGTTCATGTTGTGTTAGCACAAAATGCGTCACGAAAAAAATGAAATGGATAAACAAAACAGTAAGGAAAAAGTGAAATCAGCGCGCATTGCAATGAATGCACTACAGTACGAAGGTTAAATAGAAATTAATTAAAAACGAAAGCACAAACCACAGCTATTATCATTTTCTGTGGTTGGCGAGTATGGAACAAAAATCCTTGAGCCGCCGCACCACGTACAAGAGCACCTTCATCCGGTGATGAACACTGATAGGACAGCTAAAATTACAGTTAGTTAATCCATGAATCTAAAAATAAAAACTTTAAACAAATAGCACCTTTCCATTAACTTTCTCTGGTACTACAGTGTGACAGACTGCCATCATAGTCAAAATTTCCTTGATAGCGACAGCACTCGCTGACGTCTACAGTACATTTAACATGCTTTGCAGAAAAAGTATGATTCATAAGAAAATTCAGAAAAAAAACTAACAGGATCAGTGCGGTAACGATTAATGACCTCTTCATCTGCAAACTCATCAGATTCGTTGTCACCAAAAATCTCTCCCGCCACTGATATTTGCTTGAACTTCATTACATTTTGGGTTAACGTTCCTGTCTTGTCACTCATCAAGAATTTTACCTAGAATAAAAGTCTAAAAAATAAATAAACGTATACATAGACGGTTATCTTACTGGGTGAAAATCAAAACCTCACCAAGCCAAGTTCCTCGTTTAGATTTGAGGTGCGAGCAACCGCACAAGAGTCACTGTTCACATCGTACATTTCTACATCGATATTAATATAGCTAGCCTAAAGAGAAAAACGATAAATGATCCTTTACACGAAGAATTTAAACTTACCTGGAAAAACCGCACAATCTCAAGTGTAACTTGTAAACTTATAGGAATAAGATTATTGTATAGAATAAAGAATGTTAAAACATGCCATAAAAACGACGCTCTTGTGTCCACCTCTAAAACAATAGTTCTCCTTAGACACAAGACATCAATGGGATCGTAAACACTTACCCAAGAATGAGATATACCATGCATCGGGAAGATTGAAATTTCTCCAAAGTTCTGTCCCAACGGCACTGACAAGCGCTAACAAAAGAAGTACGACGAACAGAAAAATAATGCGACTATTCGTCTTTACGTCGACCGTTGCGCTATAGAAATCAAGAAAAATTGATCGCGAAGGATACACAAGAATGTTCCCACAGTACAATCTTCCCCAACATACCTTTTCAGTGGAGCGGTTTTCGAGTTCATTAACAACTTAGCGTCGTGCCCTGTGTATATTATAGCGCCAAATATCCAAGGAGTATTTTTCAGTCGCGCACCACGAAGAAGCAACTGGTCGATACCTTAAAGAATACATCTAAACAACTGAATAATGATAACATCAAAATCAAAGGGAAATGAAAAGTGAGTGATTGCTGCATAACAGGGTCATCTAAGCTGATTTCCACATTTACGTCTGAAAAGACAGCTGACAAAGAACCTATACAAGGTATAGCTGCCTTCTAGAAAATTTTTCGTAAGATGGGAAGCTTCGGATCAACAAAGTCCTCTCCAACTGCTAATGATCAGAAATCCAGCTAAAAAGGTTTTATGTGTGATACACCTGCAATGGTGCTGAGGATAAGAAACCAAAACCCAATATTGAAAAAGAGTGCAGCGAACCAAAAATCCCCATCGTCTCCCTAAATTAAGCAACATTTACCTCAATCTCCCTTAAAAATTGGCGTTAAAAGAATATTTCTGTTCTCAAGAATGATAAGAGTTCCAAGTGAATTCCCACGAAGATTTTTTACGTTCCCAAAATATCTAGGTAAAAAACAGACGTTAGAACCTAAAAGATTTCTTATTCACTCACCAAAAGGGAAATAACTGCCTTGATAGACGAGGTTACCACTGAATTCGTTTACGTGCCGATTTGGAAGCTCGCACTCTATGTTTGCTTTGAAATCAGAGATTTTCTCTAGAGTGGTCATAGTTGAGGTGATGGATAATGCCTATAAGATGATAAGTGCTCAGAACAGAGTTCCGGTCGAGGAAAGTTAACGAACTTGTTTTATTTTAAGATTGGTTTCTCCATCAAGATTTGAAGTTTCGATGTAGCACATGCTCTGAGGCTCGCTTGACGCAAGCAGCATCAAATCTGCTGGGAACAACTGATCGTTATCCACCCGGACCACATCACCAACTCTGATCTGAATCACACAAATCAGCAAACACAGAAGAAACCCTCTTAACCAAAATTGTCTGAACACCTCTCGCCATTCTCGGTGTTTCCAAGAGTTATTTTCCAATACAGTGGTACCAAAACAGTTAACTTTGTAATCTGATCGTCTTCTTTTCTAAAGCAAAACCTATCAAGTTAAAGCACACGGTATGTTTCTAAAATTAACAATAAAACCCACAATATCTTCGAAGATTTCTTTGAAAGCCGACACTGTTAAGATTAATATAAAAGGAACTGCTGTAGTGTAGCGACCCGTTGGACTCACGTCAGGAATTTGCTAAATGGAACCTTACGAACCGCTCGGCACATAAGATCCAAACATTTAAGAAATCGAAAAATACAACCTATGTATGATACAACTACAATAGTGCTGAGATATCTGCAAAATTCCAGAACGCAGGTGTCTACGGTGGCGAACGAAGGAGCTATTACCATTTCTACCATTTCCGGGGGTTAACGCGTTCATCATCACACCTTGCGTGTTCTTCGTTTCGTTTTTCTCTTAGCTAGTTTTCTATCTACCAGTGCTACCAGGAATCACCAGTCAACGGTATTGATGTGGGGAGCCCAAATCAGCACTGAACCCAGTTAAGCTGAGGCTGCGGTCGAGATACAAATATACATTTTGCAAATATCTCAGCACTATTGCGGCTCTATTACACATGATACCTTACCACGAAAAATTGTAATAGGCAGCAAATAAAAAAGTTGACATTGTAAATACAACTTACTTGAAGAAGCACTATCGTTAAAAAGAAGATATTGTTATATCTACGAAATTGTTCGTAAAGAAATCGTGGAAGAAACGAGAAAGCATTATATTTACAGGTGCTGAAATCAGGTTCTTTATTCAGGAGAAAGAACCAACTGCTAAGACCATTTAACAATCCTACCTAATTTCGTTAGAACAAAACTTCGGCTTCTGATGAACATCGTCGCAGGGAATGTGGATTCGACGAATGAAGGAACTATCTGGACCAATACTCATTCTGAAACGACAATCCAACATCGTCTTAAGAAGCCAGTGAAGATTTGTCCTCACAGTTAACGAATAGAAAATCAATGTCACATGTAAGCCTAAGCCACACTATTAGTGAGGAATCAGTTGCTCCTTGTTGGCTTTACAGAAATCAACATAACGACTACGTCTGCGAAACAAAGAAATTGAAACCCATTACTTTTCTTGAAATTTTCGAAAAAATGAAAAAGGATCTATATGAATTCTCAAAGGAACTGAGCAAAAGTTTTTGGAAAAAACCAAAGGATATTATACTTCCACGTGATTTCTGCGCGGTTGGTCTCTACGTGACATACTTAGTGGAAGCCTCATAGAAAGCGGCTCTGAGGAAGGCGAAATCCGCCGAAACGTCAGCTCATTCGTGAATAAAGAATAATAACACCTCGCGTTTGCTCAACAAGAATACGAACAAAGGAAAAAAGTTGAAAGTATATGTCCAGCCTCGGAGGAAAGGTTGTAGGAAAAAAGAAGATGCCAATCAGCAGACTGCGTCTTAAGCTTTTCCAGATTAGCAGGCTAATCTCGAGGAGCTGAATGGAGGTGTTAGATGAAACAGCACTTACAAACAGAAAAAAGTGCAATCAATAATGGCCGTCGTTCATTTACTTTTAGCTTGTACGATACTCCCAAACAACATTCACCAGGAATCATTCATATCTTGCTCTATACAGAACACCTAAGAGCTTAACATACAAGTACATCACGAGTCAACAGTCGAAGAAGAGCCCCTTAAGGAATGCTTCCGGCTCAAGTTGAGCCCACCTTTGATTCATAATGAAAGTTATTCTCAATGTGCTTCTAAGCCTAAGGAACAAAACAAGTGCGAGTAGTAGACTTTGAACAAAGGTGAAAAGAAGAAGTGGATAGCTTGAGAACAAGAGAAGCTTAATAAACATAAGCATTTTCGGCTATCCCAAGGTGCTCTTTCTTTATCACGAAAAATACCACTGCATTACAACTACAAATATTACCCCATCACTATTACATTGAACTTTAACGGCAATGTGAAATTCGATGTAAGGACTTTAAGGACCAAGGAAGTAAGAACTCACTTACGAACATGCACAATCAGAGGTTACTGGATCAAGATTGGCATAGAAACAAAGCTATAGCATGTGGAGCAACCTGCTGGGCACCATCTCATAAGAAACGACAAATGAGTGAGGGTCTCTTTAGCCTTGAAAAAGATGTGATTTCAAAGGCGGAACTTAGGGAAACCTTATCTGAAACAATAACAGTGGACCGTGTGACCTGATCCACGTGAATGAGGAGTTCTTCAGGAACACAAACTGCCACAAAGTGAGCCAAACAAAACATATGACTCAGATGGCAAGCGATTGCAGGACAACTCGTCCTCATCGTCGACGGCACGAGACGGCTCGTTGAAACCCGAAGTAGCGTGCCAACGTTACCTGGTATTCTCTACTCCTACTTTGCTATGCTTCTGTCAGAATACCGCAAATTCCTATTCACTTGTCATCTTGTTAATGGTGCAATCAGCTTCACACGAACTTTAAGGCCAAGTATTCGCGACCTTCGCCCCTCCAGTACTGACACTCAACGACAGCATGAGGACTGAACTTAGAGACTACAAAAACAACTGATGTTAAGGAAAACTACCACAGAACTGATGATCCATCTTGTTCTTGCGTTTCTGTTTACCAAAACAGTGAGCTAACCGTGGGGCGCCAAATCGTGATTGGAGCGCATCAGAGACCAACCAGTTAGGAAATTTTTAACAATACCATCGTGAAGCGAGTAATCCAAGTATTTTTATAGATATGACAAATACAGTTAATAGGACAATGAGGTATTACCATTTTACAACTTCAAAGGACAACAGACATTGAGTGAAGGAAAAGTGAAGAATAGTGATGGCTGTGTAGCCCTTGCTTCATCGATGGCGGTGGGTTATTGGCTCAGACAAGCACTACAGTCCTGTGGAATGTAGCAAAAAGGCACTTTGAACTGAACAATACCTTTCTTACGACAAGCTTCACTTCCCTAGATTTTTGCTACCCCCACAGCATTAGTTCTGTAGCTCTTCCTCAGTAACGGATCACAAGATGGGTAGTCGCTTGGCCACGAGGTGCGATCCAACGTGGGGCTGTGAGGTTGGATGAGAACCAGTACAGAACGTGTACTTTTCCTGAGACCCATGCATTCGACGAATGGAATCATTATTTTTGTGAGGCTGAATTGATACACCTTTTCTCTGCAAAAAGAACTATGCACGTGGATCTCCACTGGTTTAATCCCACATACTGCATGTGGAAAACAGTAAACAAATGGGCCTTATTCACCTGATAGAGCATAAGCTCTCAACACAGCGACCTTTTGTAGGGCGGGTATGGGAAAATTTCTAAAACCTTAAGGCCGTTCTACTGCCTAAATTTTGATAGACCCACGAGGGCGCCTGTAGCGCGGTGGTAGGAGGGGCCCTGAGATACACATGGGATCGATCCTCAGCGATTGATCAACGCCGAGAGCCTTATCCTTTATACCTTTATGGGGACGATCTGTGATTATAAGGTACACGTAGTAGCATCTGAATAGTCACTGTTTCGAGAACTCTCTTCCATTTTCGGGTTTGCGAACCAAACCTGTGGTCCATGTCCATAACGAAACAGATCGTAACGAATTGAAAGCTTCTCTTTCTTTCTCCGATATTGCCTTAAAGTTTTACACAGGTATCGAAGTACCGTCTCGTTTGACCACTTTTTTCTCTTTTTTTGGTGACAGAATAGGTAGCTGCAAAATTCATAACGTCAAGTTCCATAACCAACTTAAGTTTGGATTTGTTTACAACCTTAGCCGACTTTCAGCAATTACCGTCATCAATAACAGTGACAAGAAATACAAGGTTCATGCGCAACACCTTTACAATAGTGTTGAAATAGAGGCCAAGTTGAAAGTTACTAACGGTCGACAATCTCCAGAAACAGTGCAACAAACTGCAGTCACACGAGACGTGAACAACCACCAACTTATGTCCCAATTTGAGAAGTTTTGCTGGGAAGCGATGGAAGACCTCAAGGGGAGAACAAGAGCAAAATTTGTTGGAGCTACGGATGTAGGAAAGACCTTTTCACCGATTTCCAAATAAGTTAGTAAAAAACGAAATCGTTAACCTTTGTTTACTCTCTACTGTTTTTCCGTGGCAGAGTGTTATGTGAAATACAACCATAATGACGTGGAGATACGAGCAAAACTATAAGTTAATGGACTTGACTGCCAATGAAAGCGAAAATCGGATGTCAGAAGTAAACTAGGAGGAAATGCAAAAAAGATTAGTGAAAACCGATGGGAGGTTGACCAGCAAGTCGAGACCTGCGGGCGAAATCAGGACAGCTTTTTAGCAAAGGGCAGTCTTGATTGGAAAGCTGAGTTTTTGCTTTGTTCATCGGCGTCCACAAGTTCGTTCTAGATAGCAGCACCAAAATGTGGTGGCGCAGCCACTCCTCCATTGACTTACTCCTCTGGCAAGGAATTTTGCTTTATATGTAAGTGGTGGTTAAACTCAGCAGTGTCTTGGTTTTAGAGATGACAGATTCCTAGCACATTTGTAGGATGAAGAGATGAGGAACGCTTCCCCACCGTTTCCCATTAGTAAGCGCTCTTCCACTAAATTTTTCCCAACGCTTCCTGTTTTGCGCATTTTTTTTCCTATGTGGTCTCGAGCTCGTCTTAGAAGAACACCACTGGGTGGCACGGGACTCAGCCGGACCTTTGTCGACAGCAATGTTAATGTTTTAGGTGCCGCACTAAAATATTAAATATTAAATATTATTCGTATATAAAGCTGAGATATTTGCAAAACTCCGGACCGCAGGTGTATGCGGTGGGGAACGAACGCGCTATTGTACTTTCCGGTGAGTAGCGCACTTCACCACCACACCATCCGGGTCCTTCGTTTTGCCTGTCTCTCAAGATCAATAGAACTAGTTGAGAGACAGGCAAAACGAAGGACCCGGATAGTATGGTGGTGAAGTGCGCTACTCACCGGAAAGTACAATAGCGCGTTCGTTCCCCACCGCATACACCTGCGGTCCAGAGTTTTGCGAATATCTCAACATTATATACGAGTTATATTTCGCAACATACCCTGCCATTAAAAAGAAAAAAGGCAGTAAATAAAAGGGTTAAGATTAAATATTATATTAAATATTAAATAATAAATAATAAATGTAAATATTAAATATAATATTAAATTTCCGATGAGTTTATATGTTTCCGATAACCAGAAATTACATTATCAATGCAGTACTTATTCCACAGTGACTAACATTCGGGGAGTTTCGCTTTCTTCAGAACCTGGAAAGAGTCATATTGACAGGCAGTCCACGCAGCTTAGCTAAATATTTTGTAATTTATTTATTTACTTTTACTTTGCATTACCAGGCGGCTTTCACATCTAGTGTGCGGGTCCAATCACTTCTTGTATTTGATTAATTCCCAGTATCCATTATTCAGGTACTCCAAGGTCTTCGTTTTTGCGTTAAGCTGCTGCTTGAAGACTTTCGCCCTCTTTCATGAACCTCGTTGAATGCTGGTCTAGGTAATTCTCTCAGGAGTCTAGGGAGAGCCGGGCTACAACATTACTACTTAGATTGTGGGGAGTAAACTGTTTGCAAACAAGTTTGATAGGAATTTCCCGACCCAGGAAGGGTGAGAGGCTCGGTGAGCCGGTTGCGGGTTTAAACCAGTACCGTGTACGTGATTCTCGGCACCAATACCCACTCGGCTACCCGTCCCTAACACTTTACACCGGCGTGGAACTAATATTCTGAAGGAAGTTAATAAACAATCTCATCACTGCCTATCAAGAATACATAGATTTCTTTTGTAAAAACTAGGTTCAAGAAACTGCTACACTATATAAAAAAAGGACAAAGCTCTCGGAGTTGATCAAACGCTGAGGGATGCGTCATGTATTCAACTTCATGAAGTATCGTTAAAGATGACTTGATGCACATTTGGTCTAGACAATCACTAGCGGTGGCCTACCGATGTAACGACTTAGTGCTGCTATACTCCCAAATAGGTCTGGTGCCAATTTGCCTACCCCGTAGGTATGAAGAGTAGCCAAACGGCCACAGGTGTATCGTAGGACACCTCTAAGCAACACAGCTGGATAGTGGATAGCAGGCAGTGTCCTCAGACGTGACCAAACCCGCTCGCTGATAGCAACTATAGGTCAATAACACGGCTGAGTGAAAGGCAAAACGTAGGACTCGAGTGGTGTGCTGGAGAACGCGTTACTCCCCGGAAAGGATAATAGCTGTTCGTTCCTCACCGCAGACACCAACGGTCCGTAGTTTTGCAAATATCTCAGCATCGTCATGGTTATATTTCACTCAATACCCTGCCATTAAAAAATAGTAGGAAGTAAAATAAAACTGACGGCATTGTGATTCATGCCAATTTAGTTGAGGGCAACGGTGTTCGGAGACATGACTGAAAGCGTAAATTTACATGGCTCAAAATACACGTAGCTATCAAGCTAAACTAAGGGCATGAAATAGAAACCTAAGCTAGAAGGAATCGCGAACACTACTACCGTTTTGTTCAAGCATTCTTTATAAAACAAAACTAACAGCGAAGTTGATATGAATTTCCGCATATTTTCGCACGAAGCCTAAAAATTCCGAATCACACTGTTGTGGAGAAAAGGCTTAGCTCTGACATCACATCATCACAGAGATGTGATATGCAACATTTCAAGGGCTAATAAACTCAAAAAACATTACAACACTGTAAGCTCGTGATATGGTGGAGAATCTGTTATTACTGTTCATTGTTAAGACGTAGAGATGACGGAAAACATCATAAAGATATTTCCTTTTATTGCCCACCGTCCAAAAGGTAAATCAGAAATCAGCAACTACATGGCATAGGCTGAAGGTAAGAAGCGCGGTAGGCTTAAAACCATCAATTAGTTCTCATCTCCCAACGTGGCTCACCTTATACGCACTTATCGGAAATGCATAACTAATAATCCACTGATTATCCTAAGTCTATCGGTCCATAATCCTCCAGGATCTGACCTATCTAAAGGAGTTGCTCACTGTCACAAAACTCCATCCTCGAACTTCTTTATCGAACATGGTGAAATGGTGCAAATCTATAGGTTAGCGATTTGTCAGTTCATGGTTCTCTTAAAGGAATGTCTTAATCGTCCAATTTTTAAGTGATCCTAAAAAGATTGTGCACAAACCAAATCGTTAGTTACAGGACAGCAAAGGCCACTATGCGTTTAGAAGTAGTGGACATGTCTCCTCCGCTGTGGAATGGACAGCTAGAGTGTAGACACCTGCAGTCCAGAGTTTTGCAAATATCTCAGCAACGTTGTGGTTGTA